TAAGGTTTCAGCTACACAGTTGCCCAGCCTGGTGAAGAAGCACAAACCTCCATTATTGTGAGCAATGAAACAACAACTCTACGAAGAAACAGCCCCCATGGCAAAGCTGCTTATGGTCATGTATCCCCCATCAACTGCTTTGTTCCTGAGCTGGAATTTCCTGCCAGATGGACATTTGATTATCAAAGGAACTGGCCAACTTCATCAGCATACAAGGAAGCATCCTGACGCCTGGATTTCACACCTGTCGAGTAAGGTTTTAGGTTACAATATTGGCCATCCCTCCTAGGTAACCTCCCCTCCCTTCCTGCAACCAATAGGATTGTTTTTGGGACGGACTAACAGGTAGGTGGGTCAAGAGGTTGGCACCACCCACCTCTTGGACCCCCGATAAAAGGAGAGAATCAGTCCCACTTGCTACCCCCAACCCTTGCCTCTACTGCCCACGCGTTCCGGCTGGTTCTGGTCGTGTGTGGATTCCCTTTGTTTCCATTTCTTCCCATCCATTCTTCATTGGAACAACCAAGCTTCCAGTTAATGTAAATAAACATGCAATATACACTTAATGCAACTGATATTGAACAAGTATTATTGGCTGTTATCCTGATAGTTCCCCCTCATGGATCACTGCCTTGTCGTGGCGAGGGGGCTTGCGTGGTTTGATGAGGCTGTGGGCTATGCCGTGGAGGGCCACCCAAGAAAACCCCATGGACAGTATCAAAAGGCTAAAAGATATGACGCCGGAAGATGAGCCCCTCAGGTCGGAAGGTGTCCAATATGCTACTGAGGAAGAGCAGAGGGCAAGTACAAGTAACCCCAGAAAGAGTGAAGCGGCTGGGCCAAAGCCGAAAGGACGCTCAGTTGTGGATGTGTCTGATGGTGAAAGGAAAGTCCGATGCTGCAAAGAACAATACTGCATAGGAACCTGGAATGTAAGATCTATGAATCAAGGTAAGCTTGACGTGGTCAAAAATGAGATGGCAAGACTTAACATCGATATCTTAGGAATCAGTGAACTTAAGTGGACAGGAATGGGCGAATTTAACTCAGAAGACCATTATATCTACTACTGTGGCCAGGAATCTCGTAGAAAAAATGGTGTGGCCTTTATAGTCAACAAGAGAGTGCAAAAGGCAGTACTGGGATACAATCTCAAAAATGACAGAATGATTTCGGTCCGATTCCAAGGCAAACCATTCAACATCACAGTAATCCAAGTCTATGCCCCAACCACTGATGCAGAAGAGGCTGAAGTGGACCGGTTCTATGAAGACCTACAACACCTTATAGAACTAACACCAAAAAATGATGTCCTCATCATCATAGGGGACTGGAATGCTAAAGTAGGAAGTCAAAAGGTAACCGGAATAACAGACAAGTTTGGCCTTGGAAAGCAAAATGAAGCAGGGCAAAGGTTAACAGAGTTTTGTCAAGAGAACACACTGGTCATAGCGAACACCCTTTTCCAACAACCTAAGAGGCGACTCTACATATGGACATCACCAGATGGGCAACACCTATATAATTTGCAGTCAAAGATGGAGAAGCTCTGTCCAGTCAGTAAAAACAAGACCTGGAGCTGACTGTGGCTCAGATCATGAGCTACTCATTGCAAAATTCAGACTTAAACTGAAGAAAATTGGAAAACCACTAGGCCATTCAGGTTTGACCTAGATCACATCCCTGATGAATATACAGTAGAGGTGAAGAAGAGATTCAAGGGTCTAGATTTGATAGATAGAGTGCCTGAAGAACTATGGACGGAGGTTCGTGACATTGTACAGGAGGCAGCAATCACCACCATCCCAAAGAAAAAGAAATGCAAGAACGCAAAGTGGCTGTCTGATGAGGCTTTACAAATAGCAGAGGAAAGAAGGAAAGCGAAAGGCAAAGGCGAAAAGGAAAGATTTACCCAACTTAATGCAGATTTCCAGAGAACAGCAAGGAGAGATAAGGAGGCCTTCCTGAATGAACATGCAAAGTAATAGAGGAAAATAATAGAATGGGAAGGACTAGAGATCGGCATCGAAGGCCTAAGGTCCGACTGATCTATGGGAGTTTTCGGTGCCAACGGGTGAAGACCTGGACCTTTAGTTATCGGTCTCGATTGGGAAGGTTTAACGAATTCCAGTGGTGGGTAGGGATCAAGGTACCAAGAAATTCTGGACGAGGAAGACTGGCGATCCCACTCCATGGGTGGATGAGGGAGCCATGGCATCGACCCCGAAAAAGGGTAGGCTCCATATAAATGTTGCCATTGGTGCTGATCCCATGTCATGGGTGGAATCGGCATCAGAGATCAATCTCGCTCATCAGGGATGAACGGAGGTGAAGGGACGACATTATGTGTCCTTTGATCTCGGTGCAGGTTCCCGATATCGGGTGATCGAGGAACCTGAGTCAAGTCCAGCTCCTGGTCTGAGTCAAGGGACTGGATGGGGCGTAGCGAAAGTGACCGAAGTGCACCTTGTGAATCAAGCGAAGCGGCTACGCAAGAGCCTTTCTTGTGCTTCTTAAGCTTGATAAGCCGAACGTCCTTGGCCTCCTTATGTCTTCTGGAAGGAGTATGGGCTTCGAACTGTTGTGCCTGAATGAGGTGTTTCAGCACCGATTTTACGGCATCGATGGAGGTTGATGTCGAAGATATGGCGATTGTTGCTTCCGACGCTGGCATCGACATCGATGCATATCTGGATGTCTCCTGAGATAATGGCGCCACTGGAGAGAGTGCGGCTTCCATCAGCGCCACTTGCAGTCTAGCAGCCCTATTTTTCCTGGTTTGCTTGGAGAACTTGGAGCAATGGGCGCAAGAGGCAACTCAGTGCGATTCCCCCCCAGCATAAAAGGCAAAGAAAATGTCCAATGGGGGGGGGGCGGGGGCGGCGATCTTACTGCCGCATTCCAAACACCATTTAAAGAAACTCCACCGCGCGGCTATAGGCCGGGGGAAGGGATGGTAGAAATAAAGTCCAAGAAAACACTATCTAACTGAAAAACTTTCCTAACGAACTAAACTTGAATAAGACGAGGCCAAAGGGCCCAAAAAAGTATAGTTTTACCGACCAAAGCGGAGAGAGTCCTACCAGCACGGCGGTCAGAAGAGAACTGGTGGGATTGTCGTGCCCCTCCCTTGGTCATGCGCAGTGGAGCCTGGCACGTGACCGGGCGCAAAAATTCCTTTTGCTTTCCATTGTACTGATCGGGGTCGGCGCAGGCGCACTATATCCCAGAGATGTGATGCACAGAGACCACGAAGAAGATCAAAGAATTCCAGTGATATTACAGTGACTAAAAGAGAAACACAGACTTATTGAACTTTGAGCAGACTGCTTTTTTGAATATAGTCTCATTTGTTGTTGTATTGTTCTGTGGGAATCCAGCACACATCTGTATATATTGTTTTCATACCTAACCAATTATTATATGCCATCTTCTTGTTTGAAATATGTTAATAATATTTTAATTGTTTTATCTTGATGCTTTTATGAATGATGTACATCACCCAGAGCTCTGAATTGCAGGGACTGGGTGATTAACAAATTTAATACATAAATAAATAAAATTAAAAAAAATGTTTTGTGTGCCCTTTGCATTTGTGTTGCTATGTGCTTGGATTTGTTTTGCCATAGTATCACTTTGGTTCTGTTGAGTTTGCACTCCTACAGTAGCACTGGGTGCTGTTGGACATTGTATACAATGCCATTTGTTCTGCTGGGCTTGCAAGCCCCCATCCCTTACTTGGATTTGTTCTGTTGTGATTTCCGGGTTTGACTGTTGAGCTTGCACTGTTACAGTGGCATTGGGGTCTCCTGGGCATTGTGTATATTAACATTTGTTCTGTTGGGCTTGAAAAGTGCCCCCCACTTCAGGTTGTACTGCAGAGATTCTTTGGTTTGACATTATTTCTGTTGGGCTTGCACTACCACAGTGGCCCTGGATTCTGCTGGGCTTCTGCACATTGCAATTGGTTCTACAAGATTGCAAAAGTGCCCCCACCTTGAGTTTCCACTGCAGAGATTCTATGGATTAATTTTGGTTGTATTTGGCTTGGTACATTGGCTTATGGTTCTACTGGGATTACTGGGTTCTGCAAAGGTTCTGTTGGGCTTGTTGTTGGTACTTCCATGGGAGGCATCTGACAAATGATTGCTGCTAGCAGGCATGGCTTTTGCCCTGAAGGCAGCTTGGAGGTCCCCCCCCCATAGGAAATAATGGAGGATGGCTGTGAGCACCCTGTGGGCACCTCTTGGTCCAATCTACTTGAAATTTGGGAGTTATTTAAAGGACAGGTACCAGTAGCTCCACTGCCCCCCCCCCAGCCACCTGGAAAGTTTCACCATAAGGAATAATGGACTCAAAAAGTTTGTAAACCCGAAACCCTCCCAAATATGAATACCATACTGGGATTTGGTATTCTAGAATATTGGGAATACTGATTTTTCACATCCAAGATACCAGAAGCCAAAAACTACCTTGGGTTTTTTTTGCACACCCATATACAGACACAGCCTTGGGTGGAGGAAGAGGGGGGGAAGGGCAGGAATTGTTTGAAATCCTCAGTTTTTCTGGTGTACCTATCCCCCCCCCCAATCTTTACAACCTACCTGCTGTGCTCTCTCTCCACTTTAAAGAGAGTGATGTCAACAGGACATGGAATACTTGCTCCTAAGGGCTGTAAGGTACATATTCATACTTAAAGGGCTTTTTCCAAATTCAGTAGATTTAACTGTGTTCATACATCTCTTAGTAAAAATGTAAAAAAAACACCCCACCCTGTATTACCTAACAGAAATGAAGGGCAAATATTTCTCCTATTCTATAAAATTCTGTACAGTTTATTTATTTTTTAACTATTAAATAGGAAACAGATTTTAAAAGTTAAACATTTGTACTATTTCTGTGTAGCTAGTTAGAATAATATAAAATGTTACGGCAGGAAATATTTCCAGAAGTTTAATCATGGTTTAGAAACACAGTTAAAAGGTTCCAGTACAACTTACTCATTAATGATCAAATCTGGTGCAAAACACAGCAGGCTTCCATTAGACTGCTTATATGATCTCCATCCTAAAGCAAAAGCCATCAAAAACATCCACGAATACTGCAGAAGGGTCATTTGGTCGTCCAGGTGCAAGTTTCTGAAACCTGATTTGAAATAAATGTATAGGTTCTAGAACACTTCCTGTCATCACTGGTTCCAAGTAGTATTTTGACATTTATAGCTCAAATGAAACAGTTCCCAAGAGACTAGCAAAATATGCTGAAGCAAAAGCATTTGTGGGTCAGA